TCACAATATTACTGCTTTTGCTGTATTTTGGATCAAATAAATGCAGGTTTGGTGAGAAAAGACTTCTTCAAAAAACATAAAAAAATATTACTGTTCAAAAACTTTTGATTGGCAGTGTATGTATGTATCACACTCATATCACATCTAGTTGTTTTGGATAAGAATAAAACGTCAGGTCCGACAATATCGTGCGGGGGACGAATTTACATTTTATTAAAAAGTGTTTATGTATTCTACACTCATGGCACGCACACACATTAGGATAGGTTAGATGTCTGCCTCCGTTGCGAGTCCCTATCAAGCACTTTACCGATTCAACTACTTTCCTCTCCTCCTCCTGCCTGGCTCTTTCGCCAGCATCACTCACCGCAGAGCAAGCCTGTTCTTGATAAATCTGCTGTGAAAACGTGGGAAAACCCGACGAGGAAGAAGTTGGAGTGAAGCGATCTTTATATAGGCGGAGCAAAATACTTCATCGCTCCGGCTATAGCGCATTGTGATTGGATGGTTTACACTGTCTATACAGGAGACAATCCAATTGGCCACTGGCTGCTAGCTGTCCCTGCGTGATGGTCCTTGGCAAAAAAAACCAAAACATTTTGTCGGCCCCTTAAGTGCGTCGGCCCACCGGGAAAATGCCCGGTATGCCGATTACCAATCCAGCCCTGGTGACGACCCCGGGCTGGACTCCGCTTCGTCCACGGTGAAAGCCGATCCGGCGATCCACAGCGCAAAGTTGATGCAATTTTAGCCATTAGAGTGTGCACGGATCCACACTTCAAAAATCGACCTGAAATAGTAGACCATATCCGGGGACTTTTGGCATACTCTTTTCAACATACTATGCTTTGGGACACACTTATTCTAATCTCACATACTATTTAGGATGGATAGTATGAACATTGAGACTCGGGGTAAATTCCTTTCAACTTCATTATCGATTTTTACTGGGATTCAAACATCCAACTGCACAGACTGTCAACACGCATGCACCAGGTAAATTATTTAATTCTTAAAATGCCTAAGAATTTTACTTTTCAAACTCTAACTGGCTTTCTGACAATCCTTTGTTTGAAACATTCACTTTTTTGCTCTGTTCAGCCTCCCCTTATTCACTAAGTAACAAGATCAATATTGTTACATTTTTAAAAAAAGAATTTTCACTTGGCTTCATGTATAAACATAACCAGCCACAAATACTAGTTCATGACTTTATATCACTTTCACCTTTTAATATTGTAAAAGGCTCACATACTGTCAATTTTGACTACTTTTGACCTTCATAAACATAACTGTTTTTACATAAATGAAAGAGACACACTGTAACTCCAAACTCAATTGTGCATTTCAGATACTGTCACATCCCACAACCTCATCATCTGCAGAGAGAAATTGCCATTCAATTACACCAAAATACACACACATAATGATGGCCTCAAAGGCATCACAGAGGACTGTGCAAATATTATACTGGAACTTGGTTTTTATTACATATTTTTTTTGTTTTACTTCTTTATGTATTTATTCATGTTCAGTGCCTATTGTCATTTATTAAAGTATTCAGTTTATAACTGCTGTTAGAGCACTGTCATTTTTGCCACACTTTCACATTTCAATAAAAAATAAAAGTACCTAATTGACACAACATGCTGTTGTTTTTTTTTTTTTTTACGTAAAACCCTAATAAAGGCTACAAGATAAGACCAGGCAAATAGATAATATGTAATATTAATAATACTAATATTAATAATATAAATACACAAATATACTAATATTAATTAAAATAATATGTTATAAAGGTTATTTATAACACCATAAAGGTCCTATATATAACACTTTCAAAGCATGCTTCTTTATAAGACCTTAGTGTATAAAATGGATTCTATTTTGCAACAAAAAGGTTTCTGCTGTTGTTACAAGCCAAATAATACTAATTTGGCACTGTTTATAACCAGTTGTTATTAAGAGTGTAGTATATATATCTGATTAGTCAAAGTTCTCATGTACTTTCAATTTTTTCATGATTTTGACATGGGCTGGACCGGGTTCAATGACTCAAGGAAAGGCAAGGTCTTCCCTCTGGTGGCGTAGTTGTGAAAATACATGATGAAATTAATAATACAGAATGAAATGAATTAAATT